ACATGACAATTCTGTTAATTAAAAAAAGAAGAAAAGAGAAAACTATACGGTACATTACACACTCACTCTTTTATTGAGAATATATTCTACATGTTTTTTTAACTAAAAGCATGACTACAATGCTTTAGATTTAAGAAATACAATCTGATTGTTTATGTATATTAAATTTTTAATATCTCAAAAATTCTACGTATAATAAGGAAAAAGTAAGTTAATTAAATTTGTTGTCAATAGAATCTTTTCGATACATAAACAAGCCAAGATATAGTAAATTCTTTAATTTATAAATAAGTTGAAAATAACATCGATTCTATTTAGAAAATTTCTTCTATTCATCATCGTCTAAGTTAACTACTTAAGAATTTCGAAAAATATATCTTTCTATTTTTTCTAATCTTAAATCAACCTTTAGCCTTTGTTCTTTCGAAAATAGATGCTGTTTTAAAAGAATTTCTAAGCATCTTTCTCCTTTTTATTTTTGTCGGTCTATATTTTATCGATCTAAACCTTTTCATCAAGGATATTAAAAAAAAAAAAAAAAGAATATTTTCTATTATTATGAGTCTGTCGCGCTAAGCTTTCTTCTTCTTCTTTTTATTATCAATAATTGTCATAATTTCTTCTTAGATGACAAAATTAAATTATATCCACCGAAATGAGAAAGATATTTTTTTCTCTCCCGTTCATAGTTCTTATTAGTATTCAATATGATTATAATTGTTCACTTTTCAATTTCGAGTTTCAACAATTAATTTGAGTGTTTTTGATCATTTTTTTTGTTTTCGGGTAGCTCATATAAAATATATTCGATCAAATGGCCTGGATGATGAGAATACTATTTATATTAAAATATAGTCATAAAAAACCATCTACTTTTTTTCTTCTTTCTTGAAGGTTATTTAGTTCAATTATGTCTTGTCAACAATTTATTTTTTCCTAAAAGAATCTTTAGATAGAGAAAAGATTTTATATGATAGATGTGTAACAATGTCTATTCTTTCTAATATAATGTGATTGGATTTAAGATATAAAAAAAAAAAGGTTTGATTGCAATAGTAAATCTTTTGCTTTTTGATAAGATTTGAAAAAAGATAGGCTATGTAAAATATATATACAAGACGTTTTTATTCTTAGAAAAATATTTTCCTTATTTATCTAAAAGATTTTTTTAATGAAGAATAGTTTATTCTTTTAAATAGTACTTTTTTTTTTTTTCTTTCTAAAAATAAACTTAGATTACTTAATATTATTACACACAGATAGTATAAGACTAATACAGACAAAATGCCTGGTGAATATAACTTTTTTATCACCATGCATCAGTCATTATCCACACGGGGAATTGAATTTCACTATTTATAACACTTTTCTATGATGATCAATTGCATGACTACTGCTCTTGTTTAAGGATGCACATCATGCTTACTTCTTTTTTATTTTGTAAATGAAAAAGGATATTTCCTTCGCAACATTTGCATGTTGAAAAAGCCAGTTAGAAACAGTTCGTCGAACTATCAACATCTCATCCTTTTAATCAACAACATGCTCGGATAGAAAAAGACGAGAGAAATCATTAGCTATCAGTCAACGTTTAAGCTAAAAAAATATGATTTATGACTAAAATACACATTAGTGAAGAGAAAGAGAGAGAGAGAGAGAGAGAACGATGCTGGTCTATTGTCAGATGTTTTTCTTTTACAAAATTAAAATTAACGTTCTTTATATTGTAAGAAGATCTTCAGCAGATAAAAGAGAGAAAAAAAACTTTATAAGAAAAGTAAAATGTCTAGATAAGTAAATATTAGCTATATCGTTTATTTTTCAATTACGAACGTCATATCCGTCATTTTCTCAAATCGAATACTCTCTATTATAATGGTGTTTAAATATAGAACATAAGAGTTAGTCAGTGATACTTGAACAAAAGTTTGTCTCTCCAATAATACACACAAACATGTTACATATTCAACTACTGCAAGAAGGCAAGTGAATAAAAACAAGTTCAAATATTTAGCCTGTTTACTCATGATTTTCTTAGTTACTTTTAGCAAAAGATCAGATAGACAAGTGGAAGATCTTCTGTCCCTTTTCATTTGTCAAAATCGTTAACAAATCTCTCATAATATTTGAGTAGGCTAACTTGCCACATAAAATTAACTCGAAATAATATTAATGTGTGCTTCTTATAACAGTTATAGTGTCGCTCTTTACATCTGTCTAAATATTAGGAAAAATGAATGAATAGAAGCGATCCTCTGTCACAATTAATATTTGCTCAACATGATAGAAAAAACTTTTGTTGAAATTCGAGATTGACAGAGCGTGTTTTTCGTATCCTCTGATATTAAATTGGAATATGTATAAAGAAAAGAAAGAGAGTAAGAGGGCAAGTCTCTTCTCATGATTATACTGCAATAATAATAATAATAATAATAATAACATGTATAATAAAGAATTGATATTACATTATAGAAACAATCATTGATCTTAAATCATAGAGTAACAGAAAAAAGTATGTTTGTGTACACATTGTTTAATAAGAATGACATTATTTATTATAAAAGTTATCTCGAGGTCAGCTATGATTAACACATTAAAACAGAGAGAATCAAGTTTGAAGGGAAAAATACCGAAATAATGATGATCTAGATGTTATTGTAATAAAACATGTCTCGTTATAAATATGGTGACATTAATAATGGATTCTACATAAAAAGGTTATTATACTTTACTCAAAAGGCTTTTTTTGAGTGTTTAGTCAAAATATCAAATTATCTTTATTACACGCGATAATGAGAAGTGGTACGGTCCGAACTTGAGTTACAAAATAAAAATCATTTCTCTGCCTATGTTCACAAATAAATTTTTCTTTTCGAGGTTAAATATCGTTTTTTTCAAATAATAGTAATCGACAAATGAACTAACTATATTTATATAGCTTTTGACAGAATAAGAAACAAAACTTAATCTATCGTACAGAGAAACATAGAAACATACGCTCATGATTTCTATTTTTTCGTTTTCTGATCAAAAATTCTAATCTCGTCTACAGTTTGGGCAATCCAATTTTGTGTGTGGTGATTAGTATAACGCCAGAGAGCAAAAAGAAGAAAAAAAACCGAAGGAAACAAATACACACAAGAAAGAAATAGACATACATACAAAGTCAGTCAAAAGAAACATAAAAAAAATAAGTTAGTAAATTGTATGAGACGATGACAGTTAATAACAGTGTGATAGATGTTATTTGTTAGAGCCGTCTGGAGAATAGAATAGCCATCCATACACAATAGGTGAGAAAAACAGGCACCTGCTTGAACAGCTTCATACTTTAATATAGAAACCGAGGCTTCATGATTGAGACCACTTTTTTTCTTATGATTATTAATCAGATTTAAAAAGTGGTCTCAATTTGGAAATGAAAATTTTATAGTAGGAAAAGCGGTCTCAATTTGGAATGCATGTATTCTCTCGTTTCTTATGCAAATAAAATGTGGTCTCAATTTGGAATAAAGATTTTGATTTTCACATACTTTGCACATTGTTTATGATTTCGATTCATTCTTTAATTAGAATGATTGGCTACTGTCGACACACAAATATATTACAATAGAAGGAATACAACAAACAGGACAGTTATATTTTAGGTTCATACTCATCATCATCTTTAAAAGTAGAATCATTATCTAAGACAATTATATAACGGTAACTTAATGATCCTAATGTTGCTTGATAAGCTTCTAAATTCAAGTTTCCATTGAAATAATTTTGCTTGGCTTCTTTCGCTGGATTCACATCTGAAGTCGGATTCACAGTTCTGCTCTCTCTTGGACGTGTGGTACGTTGTTGTGCTTGTTCTTGTTCGTATCATGACATTGTCGACTCTTCACTTCCTTGTATGTAACGGATATAACTGTATAACTTTTATATAATACTATCTTGGGTGTTTTCAGTTTTGATACGAGAAAAATGTAGAGCTGTAGACATAATAGGATTCATACAGAAAGTCGAATTAAGGTGTTGTGTTTCAAGGTAGTTCATTTTTATAACCTCACCCGATCCAGTAATGTCGTTCTCAGCTCAATTTAGTTTTAAAAAATTAAAAAACAGTTTTGAAAAATATTTCAACCGGTTTCTGTGTCACAGTAACCAATCATTCCTAATTAAACAATGAATCGAAATCATAAACAATCTACAAAGTATGAGAAAAGGACAAAATCTTTGTTCCAAATTGAGACCACACTTTATTTGCATAAGAAATGAGAGAATATATGTATTCCAAATTGAGACCACTTTTTAAATCTGATTAATAATCATAAGAAAAAAAGTGGTCTCAATCATGAAGTAGCCATAGAAACTTAAACTCTAGATTACATTTCTACACTTTTCTTCACCTTTATAGTCACCGTTTGTTCTCTTTAATAGTTGCCAAACAATTGTGTGTAGGAAACTTAAAGCAGACTAATAGAGGATAGTAAGAGAGTCAAAAAATATCAACAATGTTACATGTTAAAAGAGAACGATACTATTCAGATGCTATAAAATTGAAGAATTTAAGACTAGATCTAGCGTTATGTGTTAAGATTTAAGACAGAATTCCCTATTTCATCCAAAAAGGCAAATCTAGATATACCTTGTTGATCGAGTTTCATTATAAGTCTTCAATTTCCACTATCTAACCTTAATAATGAATATTTTCGGTTTAGAAACTTAAGTTTAACTAATATCTGGTTGTTGCCACGTGCTAATAAGCTGTAGACGGAAATGAAGTTTCAACTATAAGAAATTCGATCCAATGTGTACTCTTATTCAAGTAAAAACGGCAACAACAAAAAGTCATTTTATTTTTAAAAATAGAACACACTATTTCCGTTTGGGATAATTTAGTTTTATGAAAATAGCAATCATTCTTCTTTCTTTTTTTGTTCAAATACATTCTAACTAAATATGTCTATGTTGTTTATTTTCTAAAGGGATAAATAATTGTTGTTAAAAATTCAATGGAACTACCTAAAGGACATGCCTCGTTTAATTCAAATTTATTTACACCTAATAATAACAATCGTCGTCCAGAAAGATCAGTAGCATTTGGAAAAATTCCATTAGCATCTATATTAGCCACACAAAAACGAGAAGTAAATAATTCAATGAAACATGAACCATTATTACAAAAACCAACAATTATCACAAGGACAAATTCAAATAATTCAACGACAAATTCAAGAAAAAATTCAGCATTATTATCGTCAAAAGGTAAAAGTTTATGGATGAAAACAGCTGAACCTCTGATATTGAGTCGAACTAGACGTAGTGAATTGAAAAAAAAATTATTAAGATTATTACTTGTATTCAGTTATTTATTATCAATATCGTTATTTGCCATTGCATTAGCAACATTTTACGGTTTCTTTTGGACCGCACATATCCCACCAACATCGTCAGACAATGATACGTTTACAGGTCATGATACAAGTACAATACCACATAGTGAATCACAGGTAGATCAATAAATAAATCTATCATACCATTAGCAAAAAAGTCAGGGTTTGAACTCGAATAAAAAATCTTTCATAAAATACTAATTGAGACAATGAATCATTGTCATCTATCAATCTTCTCGTTCATGAGAAAGAATTAGAAAACTCGTATGTAAATCATATCAATGTCATTATTTATTTTTATACGTTTTTCTTCATATCAAATCTTAAATTAAACTCTTTCTTCTTCTTTTTTGTTTTCAGGAAAGTCGATTAAAAAGATCATTGAAAAAACATTTTTCTTAGTATATGGAAAAATTAACAATCTAAAGTTATTATCCTAATTCATTCCAAAATCAAACAGTGAATTTACTGTTAATACTCCATATCAAGGTAATATAAAGTTATATTCTTTAACAAAAATTCTAAAAATAATTTAATTGTCTGAGCAGATGATAGAAAAAAATCGATTCATTTTTTGAGTTTGATACAATGACAATAGTAATTCAGTAAAAAAAAAAAATGAATGCTATAAGATTAAAATTTATATTTAAAAACAGAAAAATTTAACATAGATGTTCACCTTTAAGGCAATGATAATGATAAAAATCATCGAACTATCATAAAAAAAATGAGATTTCTTAATTCTCTCATATTACGAGAGGCTTGTTTTAAACATATTTCAAAATGAGCGTTCATATCACATATGTTTATTTAAAATATATTATTTTAGAAATATCCGACAATGCAATGTATCTACGACAACTTCCGGTGATTTATGATGTTATTAAATTTAATATTCTATGTTTTCTTATAAAATAATAATCCGGTTTCTTTTGCTTTTTCGTTATTTCCTTATTTTTCTACAAAAAAAAATATTTTTTTTTATTCTAATTGTTATTATATACTTACTTCTATTTTTGTTTAAAATGGAATGCATTTGTTATTTTACATGAGACAATAGAAGAAACTCCTATATATCACAACTACGAAATGTACCATCATCAACATGTGCGGCAAGTCTTTTAGTTTCAGCTTCTAATCGGATGCGTTCTTTATCAACTTTTATAACATCCTGTAATGTTGTTTTATCTAATGGTACCATTTCATGACTCAAATAAAAAATGACACTATGTTTTAAACATTTTTTCTTATACTTGATAAATAAAAGTAGTGTACCTGGTATAGGTACTTCCTAAACATGCTAATATAGTGGATTTTCCTACAAAAAAAATAAAAATATTTATAAAAATTTATCTAAATCAATCTGTTGTGAGAGTCTTATCTGATCCATTTAATCCTACTAGTCCATACCGTCTTCCACAATTCATTTCAAACACTGTATCCATCAATATTTCTTATCCCCCAAAATGACAGAGAAAATTGATGAATATGAACATATTTTCCATGAGAAATGCGAGTCAGGAACATCTAGAAAATGATATTCAGACAAATGTAAAGTGATGATAAGATAAATCATAAACTATTTATTATACCTGTCGAGGATCGCGCATCAGTAATCATTTTTTCCATCATATTTTGTATTAATGATTTAACATGAACATCTTCATCTATCATGGTTGTAATATCTAGAACACATTAGTAACGAAATAAGGAAAACTATAAGAATCAAAGATAAAATCACGTGTTTCCGTAGCACTTTTTGAACTATCTGATATTCCATTTTTCAAGTTTTTTCACTGTTATTATTATTGTTTCTTCGTTATTAATTTCATCATCATTTTCTCGTTCATCATTATTTATCATCGTCGTTTGTTGCGGAAGTTATTGTCGTTGTTGTTGATTTTTATTTTTTGTTAATATTGTTGTTTTTCAACAACTGTTTTCGGTGTTTCTCGTTTCGTTTTAGTTGTTAAGATAACATTTGAAAGTAATGGAAAATGAAAATTATTCAATGAAATTTAAAAAAGAGAATAAAATCCAAACATTAGATCTTTTAATGCCAATCAAAGGATAAGTTAAATCTAGAGAGAATCCATTTATTGATATTGTATGTTTTACAGATTATCTTATTACTTATTGTATAAACATAAAAAAAAATCTGACTACAAAAAATGATATAAACAATGTCTTTTATCATTTTCTTCTGAATTAAATATTCATTATCTAATGTCATTATAATATGTTCACTATTTAATGTGGCACCGTCCAATAATTCATACGAATCATAATCAATTAAATATTTGATATGTATATATCAGTTTTTTGATGAATAAATATAAGACATTTAATCAAACAAATGATGATTTCCTGTTGATATATATAATGATTGACTTTAACTATAATTAAAGAAAAAATCTAATTCATTTAATGATAAATTATTTTTGATTGATTCTAATAATATTGGTCTTAACGTCGATCATAAACGTTTTATTTATTTAAACATTGATGCGAATAAGTTAGAAGACAACTTTTTATCCATTGTAAGATGAAATGAGAGAAACCGATGGTCGATAATCGATAATCATGTTTGAGTGTCAATATTTTTGATCACCAAAAAAAGATATCTTTGATCATCAAATCATCTCACATTTTTATTTTTCAACTGAATGTAATATACAAATATAACAATATATTAACCAAGACAATATTTTTACAGTTTTATTTACATCTATTTACAAATTTAAAGCTGTGCTAACTTTCTTGAGACGCCCTTTTGCTTTTCGTTTGCCTAATGGTTGAATACGTGTTTTATCGCTAACTTGATAAAAGTTAAATAGAATTACTAATTGAACAGAATGTTTACACGAATATACTTTCATGCCGACGGGACAGCTACATGATTGTAATGGTGCAACTAGCCAACACGATTGTTGCCACATCAAAAAATCATTAAATGTGAGCCACTGACAAGAATGAGAAATATCTAACTAAGCCGACGGTGTTATTCGGGCGTTTGATGATGGTACAACATTAAAAAAAAAAGATTTGGTGATCAAAAGTATATTTACTCATTATGTTTGATCGCTTTAATTAAAATAATGTTCATGATTTTAACGATGCAATATAGACGAACTATTTCTGTATTATACAATAGTGTCGAAATATCTTGATTACAATCTAATTCTTTAGTTAGTTCAAGGGCTTCTGACCCTAATGTTTTTCTTTTAATATTTTAAAAAAATAAACGATAAGACATGATTTTTTGTAAAATTTCGATTTAAAAGCTTGTCATATGGTGAGAAAAACTTGTAGAAAAATAATATTAAATAAAATTAGTTAAAGTCACTGTTTTCTCAAGTAGTGGGTAGATGTCCAATTTCAAGATAAAGAATGTGCATGATGCCATAAAAGTACTTATGGGATAAAACAAAAACAGTAACTTCATCACTTTTTCTTAGCGAAACAGTTAGTTGTTTTTAAATTATAGAGAATCACTCAAAGTTTTATGTATAAAAAAACAAATAATTGTTTACACGCAAATTTATCATCCTTTAGTTCAACACATAATTGTAATATTTTATACTTCTCTTTTTTTTCTACTATTTTGAAATATTTTTATTATTTTTAAATTATATCGTCTCCTTTCGTTATTCTGTCTTTAAAATTGTTCAAATTGCTTATCCTTATTTTATAGACATTGTTTTAACATGCATCTACAGGAAAAATATCCAATGATGTTAAACTGAATAATATGAGAGACTATGAAAATAGTCTAATTGAATAGGCATCAAATTTTTGAGAAAAATGTGTTTTGATCACCAAATTTATAATTAATTATTATATATTTCAAGTGGGTCATAGATTATGGACTAACCTAATTCCGAATATCACCATGTCAGCTACCCTTAGGTTTTCAGAGAGCAGTTTTCTGGTAAACCAGTTTTTTGGAAACTCTAAAAAATAACCAAAACCTTTTCTTAATGAGTTAGGATTGTAGCCCGTAAATTTCTGATTAAAATGAGACATCTCCCAGCTCTAGAAGACCTTTCGTTGCAAAGTTATAGAATTTACAAGAGAAGGCCTAAATTAGTTTTTTAAGTGCACATATTTTGCCTGCGTATATTTTGGTAGTCCATAACCTTTTCGTTCCGGAGTTATAAGCGTTTTGTTCATTCATCTTATTTTCAGAAATATATAATAGATGCATGAAAAGGAAAAGCAAAACCGAAAATTTGATCACTGAGTAATTTACTCAATCGAAAAGCACTAAAAAATGATCAAAAAATCTCTCCTGATCTTTTTTGATCAAAATTCTTTTCTCAACATACAAACACAGACTTTTTCATTGTGAAAAGTTTTTCTTATATCATTGTAAGGCAAGCTGAAGAAACAGAGAATCATCTGGCAGGTATGGACAGGCCTGTCATATCGAATTTGCGGCTCAACAGGGTTTTGTAGCATTGTCACCTAAAAATTGAAATATTTCGACAAGTACATGCACACACCTACGAGGTTTAGCAGACCTACAGAATGCCCCCTCCCCCAATCGACGTTATTTTTCTATAGGGCAAACGTTAGGTAAAAGATAAGATGAAAGTCGTCCAAGAAAAATCCATGAATCTATCTATGATAATATGCTGAGAAACCATCTTTGATCAAAATAGAGAAGAAGAGATTTTTTTGATCATTTTTCAATGCTTTTCGATCGAGTAAATTACGCAGTGATCAAATTTTCTGTTTTGCTTCAAACATATTGATACTCAACAAAGCTTTTGGTTCCCGCATTTGTGGTTTCTGATAAAAAAGATTTTGAAGTTTTTTTTCGGATTTCTGCCCTATTTTTAAAATTTAAATAAAAACTTCAGTTTTTGATATGAGGAGTTGAGTCTAGCGTAGTTCAATAGAGAACATTAATTTGTATAAGGAGAAACACTTTTCATCATTCCCAAATGAAGTTTGACGCAGAAATTTAACGTTCACCTTCCCGAGGAAATTTTAGAGCTAAAAGTATTTTTCACCCCACCTTACGGCTAGTTTCATTCGAAGCAAGCATTTTGAAGCAAAACACTGGGTACAAAAGTTGTTCAGAATCGAATTCTGCAGTCCCTAACGAGAGGCTTTTTTAAAATTGTCCTTTTTTGATTTTTAAATTAAATTTTAAGGTTTTTAAAGTTGTAAAATTTCGTATTTTTTAATTTTTTTGTTAAAAAACCACAATTTTAAAAAAACCTCTCGTTAGGGACTGCAGAATTCGGTTCTGAACAACTTTTGTACCCAGTGTTTTGCTTCAAAATGCTGGCTTTGAACGAAACTAGCCGTAAGGTAAGGTGAAAAAATCTTCGCTGAGTCCAAAACCAGCAATATCCTCAAGTTTTGAATCTTTCTTCAAGACTTTCCAGTTTGTAAAGGATACTTCGAAGTATATGTCCTGAAGTTTTTTCTACTTACTGACATTATCTGCCTGAGAAAAAATTAATTACTAAAAAATATATTGTTAAATTTTCGACTTACCAGACTTACCGGGGGGCCCAAACTGAATTCTAAGACTTTTAGGGTAGTTCAACTTGTAGCTCGTGAAATTCTCTACCAGATAAGGTATTGCTCGAATTTTTTCGTCGAGTCGTTATTTTACCAATGGGACTTTAAGCTGGTAGGCTAACTAATTAACGTTTATTAGCACTAATTAGTCAATAACAGGAAAGAAAGAAGAAATTTTTTTGCATATTATCTCGTAGTAAATATTCTCCACACATTTTTCTATCGATCTAGGCAAGAATCAAGTTTTTATGATGAATCGAACATGAACAGGATAATGGTCCCTTGTTCAAAAATTTAACAATATTTTTTTAATTAATTAATTTTTTTCTCAGCCAAATAATGTCAGTATGCCGAAAAAACTTCAGGATATATATACTTCTACTCCACAAACTGGGAACGTTAGAGGAAAATCTAAATGGGGGACTTCCTCTTAATCACTACTCTGTCTTTTATTAAAAAAGAATTAATCGATTCTACGAAAAAAATCATAACTGATTCCTGTTTTTTATGTGAGAGTACTTTTTGAGCCATTCTGTTTGTGAAAAAAGAAGAACTGGTTCTCATTTTGAATACGTAAACGTATTGCGCAGTTTTGCATGATATTTTTAGTCAACTAGCTGAAAATCTTGCTAAAAGCGAAAAGAATGAAGAACATGCAAAATGAATAACAATACTTTTAAATGGTTTTAAACAGCAGCTAAAGAATAAACAGAGTCAGTCATATGAATAGGCGTCCTTATATAATAGTATAAGAAAGTGTGTTGCACAATCTAAATTATTAATAGAATAGTAATATCAGATTTTATTTTTGCAAAAGTAAAATTTGTCCCATTTTATTCGTTATTTATACAAGGATTAACTTTGTGTATTGTTTAGTTACTGTTAAAAATTCATCATTCATTTTATGATGTGTGCCCGTATAATACAATAATTGTAACAATATTTTTATTGCAACAAAAAATCAAAATATATAATGAGAAATAAATGGTGATTATAATAATTTTAACGTCTTTAAAAGTTAAAAATTTCATTTTATCCAACAAATAAACTCTGTTTGCGGTAGCAATATAGTAATAAACGAAACACTATGTATACGAAGATAACATGAAAATAAATTAAACGAAAAAGAAAAACCTACCGTAACAAACGAAAAAAAAATTCACTTCATCACACATGCACATCAAAAGTTTTAATGGAATATGAACGTTTATAAAAATAATTGAATAGTAATAAATAGTTCCCTCTTTTTCTATATTAAAAAGAGAATAATAATAATAACAATAACATTAACAACAACCAATGTTAAGTGAAGAAGTAGCAGGAAGAAGAAATGTTCAATAATACTACTGGAAAACGGTTGAGATTTGAAGACATACATATATATATTAAACCCATTGCACAGGACCGACGCATGCGGAACAAATATAAAGATTTTTATCGATAAACGCTAAATTTTTAGAATCATTTGCTAATGATGGTGTCACTTCGCCAAGTTCTTTTAGCAACGTAAATATACGCGTTTTTGTTTCGTTATCAAAGTCAGATAATGAAGGAGATGTGGTGATTAATTGTTGAGTTTTATCTATTAATATTGATGTCGAATTATCAATTTCCGATGGTGGTAATGCATTATCAACAAGTTCTGGCCAGTCTATAAAGAAATAAAAAATTAAAGAAATAGAGATCGTTTGAGAAATAAATGATTCATTGCCCAACTAGGATAACTTCTATGCTTATTAGGTGGCTCAGCATATCATTAAATCATGAATCTTCGTCACAAATTATCTGATTGAAGACTGAATAGGTAACATCATTGCCTAACATAACTTTTACCATAGTACATGTTAATCATTTATTTTTGTCTTCACAAAAAACAAGCACTCACCATTTGCATCGGTACCAGTTGTAATTAATGGAGGAGATTGTGACAGCATACTATTTTCATTAACAGAATGTTGCTCTTTTACAGGTTTAGTCTCGATATTATGCTGTATTTTTGTTTCTGAACTATTTAACGCTCTCAGAAGAAGTTTTTCAAGTTCGGATAGTTTTTTCTAAAAATGAAAATCAAACAAAATTGATTGATACATGATTAACGATCGATGCTTTAACAAATACCTGAAGATTAAATCTGTCTTGCGTCATCTGTTTTATATAATCATCTTTTTGTTGATAACGTCGATGTAATTGCTGTCGCTGTTGTTGATACAAATAAATATAATCACCTTTGAAAATCAAATGTAAAAGTTGTAAAGTATAACTTTTTTTAAAGATTTTTTTATTTTTTACCAATTGTGTCAGTTTCATTTTGAAGTTGCAAAATGAGATGTTCTAGTTGTTGTGTGCGATCTTGAAGATCAGCATTTTCTCTCATAGCCCGATTAAAGCGATCCTATTTCATGAGAAAAAAAAACTTGCATCATAAATTCTAACTATTATTAACGATGTAACTAGGATTTTTCTGATGGTGTAGAAAGAAAAAATAATCGAGAAAAATTTTCCTTTTACGAAATAAACTCATACTCCAAAGAAGGGATATGTTTCAGCGTCCTTTTCTTTGGATAAGTTACTGACTGGTATATCTTAAACTGAAGGCTCACAATGATTTTTTGGACAAAAACATGTTGTTGCTGTTCATCCCCTCGTTCAATATCCTCAATATGTGATCCCATCGATGATAAAGACGCTGTATCATTTAAATGAGTATCATCAATATTTAAATGTTCTTCGCCTAAAGAATGAGCAGACTGTTGCTGTTGTTGTTCGTAGTAGGAAAGACGTTTATGCAATGAATTGTTTTCTTCCAATAGAGAAGTGATTTGCTGCAACAGAAAACACAAAACAAAATGTGTAAGAGTCTTTCATTTAGTAGTTTTAAATACCTGTGTAAGTTGATTTTCTTTTTCATTGCTCGATGGAAGCGACGAAGTAGTCACGTTTGATGATGCATGAGTAGCTATTTGATGTTGATTTTCATGTTCATTCAACTAGAAAAAAGATGAATACACATCTATCAAGTTTATTGATTTACTTTAATTCTTTTGTTTTACCAATAAACGCGTTTCATATAGTTCGATTTCTTTCTGACCAATACGATCTCCCAACTGTTTTGACAAATATTCTTCAGCTTGAATACGGTTTGTTAAATTCATATTGTCATTTGACTATATCGAACGAAACAGAAAAGATTAACTAGTTCCCTTGAATATAACGTGGAGGTAGTCTGAAGACCTTAACGTTCATCAGAATGAAAAATACTCTGTTAATGTAAGCCTAATGCAACGGACACTACACAAATTTCAACAAAAACTTCTATAATAACAAATTGAGAAGCTTGACCATGAGAAAAATTACTGATCCGGTGACAAATTTTTCAAAAACAAAAATGCCATTCATTTCTCACCAGTTTAATGAATCCTTCTTGTAGTTCCTGAAATTGCTCTTTTAACTGTTTATTTTGTGCCATTGCTCTTGATAGCGCCATTTTATCACTTTGCATTGTTTCTAAGAGTTTTTCATGATCAACAACATTTTCACCTTTTCAAGGAAAAAAACAGGTTTGTTTCCTAAATCTACATTGTAAACCCGTTTATAACTTACTGGTTTTAACCATATTTAATTCTAATTCTGCTATTCTTTCATCACGTTCAGATAACAGCCTATTAATATAATATAGCAAGTAATTAAATGATATCCGAGCAAGCGTTTCTTTTATACTTGTAAATTTGATCGCTATCTATGCGAGTTGATTCATAACGTTGCATCCACTCGTTCACTGTCATTTTCAATTGATCATTTTCTGTTGTCAATATTTCTAATTGTTTATGATAATCACTATCGGAAGTTTCAACTATTTGTGCTTGACTGGTTTGCAATTCATGAATTTTCATTTCTGAAACACATTAATGATATTATTTACTTCTAAACACAAGTGCTAATGTCATGATTCACCATAAGATTGTTTCATTGTTTCATGTTCATTGTCAGATATGTTTTTCGATCGTGTTAACTGATCAAGCTAAACAATGAAGAGACTAGTATAATTCTGGCTATTTTGCATAAATTTTCCTTACCTGATCGGTAAGTTCTTGGGTTTGACGTTGTAAACTATTACTATATTGTTGGTATTGTACTTGCATCTGTTCCTTATCCGTTCTCAATTGATTTGCAGTCGATTGCAACTAGACAGATATGCAAAATGACATTTTCTGCTACATAAAAATGAAACTGACCACATACAGCATCTGCTTCATTTGTTTTCAATTGAATTGTATGTTTCAGTTCTTCAATCTGTTGTTCATATCTATCCGTAACAGTTGTGTCATTAATAGACTAAAAAACAACAACGTCAAAAAGAAACACTGTCAAAAACAAAATAAACATGACATCTTATTATCTTACTTGGAATTGTTGACTTCTAATTTCAGATTGTTCTAATTTTCTTTTTAGTTGTAAAATTTCGTCATTCAACTGTTCAGTACTTTGTAATTTTGTATTCAATTTATCATTCAATTCATCACTCTTCTGTTTCAGATCCTCAATTGTTTGACTGAAAAAATAGTTGCGGATACAATGGATCATTCAGGCGCAACTTTCCTTCATATTAGAGGTGGAAGAATTTGCCGGTAGGCTGAAGTAAAAAATCGATTTGTCGAAATAGGAGAACAAAGAGAAAAAGATATTATTGAACAAAAAAAGCAACATTCATCTCCAGGTTCTGCAAAAATAATTCTGTTTCTTTTCACTTTTTTATTGTTATTTGTTCGTTAAGCTATGGAGACGTTTTTTTGCTCAACATATACTTTATTCTAGTTTAGTGTGAAAATTTTCCGATGAAGTTTGTTGTTTGTACAACTTGCTGTGAAAAACTTGTGATAGATTCTGCATCTCTACTTTACATACTTTTGTCGAATATTTTCTAGTTTTAAACGATCATTTTCTTTTTCATATTCTTTGGCAGCCTAGATAGATGAAAGAGAAATAATGAAAAATAGAAATACATGTGCTTTTCGGATTCTACCATTTCTCGTTTTTGTACATTTGATGTTGAATTTTGCACTGTCTTTTCTAATTCTTGTACTCGTTCTCTTGATGCCTTTAATCGTCCTTGTAATTCATCTAATTCATTTTGTTTTCGTTCTAACTGTTTGAAAGATTGAGTTAATTTTGCTTGAATATCCGTTTTTTCGGCAACGAGTATACCAATTGTTTGAATATGAATCTAAATTCAGAAATGAAAATATTCATCCAATCATCAGTAAATTATCTAAATACCACAAGTTACTTACTTCCAATTGCTCTTTAAAATGGTCGAGATCACGACGATATTTTTGCTCAATTTGTCCTCGTAACACTTCGACATCTTGTTGCGTTTGACTTGAACGACCGGACTAAAAATGGAAACGTCATTCCTGTCTATTTTTAGGTTTATTTAGGATCACTACTTTTTTTCAAATACGAATAGGTGAAAGACAAACATGCAACACCGCTAATTTATGTGACAAATTAAAGTAATGCAACATTCTAAATTCAAAGATAATTTCTCTCATCTTTGAAGTTGGTTGTTACAGAATCCTCAGAATAAGAAGAATAAGCTACAATATACTAGAATAATCTTGAATTGTATAAGAAGTCGAGGTCAGATAGTTTTCGTTCTCATTCTGTTCAAATCAAGAGCGTGGTGCAGGGTTAACATATTGGTGATTAATCATGAAAAAACTATATTGATGTGAGTTATTCTTACCACACTACCGTGTTGTTGCTGATAGTAAAGTTGATTTCTTGCCTGCTTTTGATTTTCGACCAGTACCGCATACTGACGATTTCTTTCCTGTTTGAAGAACAACAAAAAATAGGGTGTGTGCTTATTTGTTATTACAACTAAAACTGTTAAGCTTTCCCTCCGTCACATCCAAATTACTTAACGAGTTTAGCCATGCAGCTTAAAATGCTAAATTAACAATTCTACCGTTTTACCTCTAATTCGTCAACTGGAGATTTTGACAAAGAACTATCAATACCATTTAAAATAGCTTGTTGCTAAACATAAATAAAACATGAATTTTCGTAAATAAACACTTCAAAAGTATATTACTTGGTCAACAAATCCGCCCGTGTTTTGTGAGAAAGTATTGTTTTTTGGCTGAGAATCAGAACTAAAAATGTTAAAGAAACTTATCCACTACTTAAATTCATACATGGACTGAAAGAACTGACGTGTGATTTTGTGAGATGGCAGTATTGTTTGTTGTCTGTAAAGAAAAGAAAATGAGATGTCAGGAAAATCACGATAAATAAAAACTTACGCCGTTCATATATGGAACACCATTGTTTTGGATATAATTTACATTATCTAATGAAGAAGTGTAACCATTTACAGCAGGTAGATCGCTTTGTGCGGAATAACCATCTTGCTGAAGTTGTCGAAACTTTTTCAACTAGGGTTTAACAAAAAAAGATGTGGTAGTGCGTACAAATATGCAGTCTATGTATGGCATACCTTTTTTCGTGCATTTGCTAGATTTTCACGTTTATCTTCATCAACCATCTTGAAACTCTGTGTCATACAGCTACGGAAACAGTCTCTTATTACAATAAATAAATCCTTCTAGCGGACCAGATTTCTGCACCAACATTCAAAGGTTCAATGTCGCTTTTTATTATGGTATCCTCCTATCTCTTAAACAGCACTGCAGACAAACAGAGCAAAAGTAAAAGTAAAAAGATGGATACGTGGATTTATTCTAATTCCGTATTGTATGGATCATATCATTGATCTTATCGGATGAATTCATATAGATGTCGTGGATTTCCGAATTGTTTAGGACAATCTTCTTCTATTTAACAATCGACTTGTGTACCTTTGAGATACTAATTTTAATGAAGTGAAAGGTGGGAAAAAAGTTTTGCAAAACCCTTATGCGTGTATTTTAGAAGAGGGGTAAGTAATCGAATGATGGCAATTTCATTTTGTAAAAAAAAAATATAGATGTATTATTGGCGTACCATAATATAATACATATTATATTATACATTAAGCAGAAGAAATGATTCTTATGTACAAAAATTGTCCATGGCTAGTGCTGAGGATTATGTACCAGTGAGAAATGGAAACTGTCTTACTTTTATTCGTAGTAGACAGTTAAAGTGCATACGACTAAAAAACGAAATCTTTTGTCTGCAGTATTTTTGGAGAAGATCCACCGCTTTACTTGCTCACCAGCTCATCGCATAGGAAAAAGTGGTTCTCTCCATGAAAAACTCTTCCGTGTAAAAGTTCAGACAAGCTATGGATAACTTACTTTGGAAAGTTTAGTGATGTAACCGATGTCATATACCTTAGTCCTTCTCCGAAAGATTAAATTTTATCAACTCGCCTTGCTACTGATTTGTTATATCTTCAAGCTTTAGCACATATCGTGTCTCAAACTGTAAATGTGCATTCAGTTGGTTTTAAAGAACTTCATACCCCTGATTTTGTTTATTGTACATTGTATCCGAAAGTGCATACGACTATGAGACCATCCTAATTTTTGTAGGAAAATGGTTTATTGTGTATACTTTTCCTCCTTCGAATTTTTACCTAGATGCAAAAATAGTAGATTTTGCTGGCTTTGCAGGTATAATTGTTGCAGATCGATCGCCCATACTTTTCTTATTTATAATATATTTTCTCCGACTAAATGCAGTTTTGATAGATTAGTCGACAGTCTCTCTGCGACACAACAATTATTGTCTGCTCTGTATGTTGTTTTCTGCTTTATAAGTATATAAATGAGCTTATTATATTGTAATACGAAGCAGTTCACGTTTTCTACTATTACTCACAGTCCACTGAACTGTGTAATACCTTTCAAATTGAAGATTGATGGATGAAAAACGTGCAAAATGTCGTCGAAATGTATACTAATGTTTCTTTTGATAAATTAATAGGTTTTATTAAAGTTCAACTCGTCTTAGTTTTATAGATGATACTAAGAATATATAATTAAATCTAAAATATGTCTGCGAATATTTCTCATCAACAGCATCATTCATCACAACAGCAAGGAAATACCCCGAATACAAATTCTTCTAATTCAAATAACAATAATCCATCACCATCATGTGACGATCGTACATGTTCAAATGCCAAATGTGCTCTATGTTTGTAAGTTAATTCGTTCAGATTATTAGATCACTTTTTTTTACCGATATTTCTTGTATATTATAGGCATTGCTCACAACAATATTGCTTTATCCATTTTCTTAAACATAACGAGCAGTTGTCATTAAATGCTGAAAATTTTACGTTGTCAATTGATCATTTGGATGATCAGTTAAAAAATATGTCCATTGATGAATCACTAAGAAAAACCATTCATCATCTTGATCAATGGAGAAAGAATTTAATTAAAACAATCGACTATGTTTATCAAGAAAAATTGACATCTATCAAGCAAAATTATATTCGTTTAACAAATTATCTGAAACAATTTCAATTTGAACAAACATCACATATTCAAACAGTACGTCATGATTTGGAACAAATGAAATTCATCCGTCATACGTATGACAGAGAAATGAGAAAAATCCAAACAACTATTGAACAGATACGACAAAATTGTAAAGAATTAAAATATGATTTAATATTAAAAGAACGTCAAATACCAAATATTTATGATTCAATTGAATGTGAAATTATATGGAAAAGACGTTCGGCAAGTAATAATAATAATAGTAACACAAACAATAACAATGAAGAACATATTGATGATGAAAATGGAAATAGTGAAGAACCAGGTGAGTTGTAGATATATTTCTAGGAACAATCCTTTTGTATCATTCTCGACATTAACTATTTTCAGTTTCTGCTACTGAGGAAGAAGAAGAAGAAGAATATTTTATGAATTCAAATGAAGGTGGCGTGCATGGAATTAGTCCATCAGCACGAATTAAAACGGAATTATTAGATTCTGATTGTGTTGAACTTGATAATGATATACTTGATAATCGCTATAATAATACCACCACTACATCTTCGTCGTCACCAAGTCCAACATCGTATGAAAACTGTTTACTATCGTTTCTTATTGATCCACCTCATATGAATATTAATGATAATTCAACGCCATTACCCATGATTCCTTCTACTCTATCTCAACCGCCAGCATCCTCGTACGATAACAAAGTAACTCGTGGTGACTCTTATCATGATTCTAGTTACCATAGACCAATGCCACATCATCACCATTCAATTCAGTCGTCCTTACCGTCACTATTACCGATTAAAAAGCAACAACAACAACATCCACAACCAAGAACTAAACATTCAGCAACGGCAAATGGAAATTCATTACAATTACAAAATAAGAAACGTCGTATATGTATGAGTTGTGGAAAATTTTAGTAAGTAATATTAGAGACGTATATTCTGACTATAAAGCGATTATTTTTGCTTAGCCATCCGAGCAGTTTACAACGCCATTTTCGTCAATGTAAACGTTTGTCAATGATGAGACAACAGCAACAACAACGAGAGGAAGATGTACATAAAACACCTCTATCAGCAGGTGGCAACACTCAAACAACATATAAAGCCATTGTTGTTCCATCGACCACTGTTCCGGATATAACATCATCATCGGTAGCAACAACGGCTCCGACGTCAACGACATCAACAAATAGTAATCATAATACATTTTCAACCTATGACATTTCGAACAATAACCAATAATAATAATTGTAAAAACAATTTATCTACTTTTTAAAATTTTCTTTTCTCTTCTGTTTGATTGAGATCTGCTTGCAACCTGAAACGTTGTTTGGAAATGATAGTCATGGTTAGAACGTAAGGAATTATGGATAGTTTTCTAGCGAATAACGATAATAAACACTAGAATTGGGACAAGTTTATCACTTTTGTTGTTTGTCATCGTTTCCATCAATTTTCTTGTTGGTCTGCTCGTTACGACAGTGACCGTATCGTATATGAGAATGTTAAAGTTTCTCTTTCTTCTATTTTTTTTGCGATTCATGTATTTCTCGACGCTGGCTAAAATTCTAGAGAAAAAACTATTTACTTTTTATCAATTAGCATTCATTTCACGATTCGAACTTTTTCGAATTTTTTTCTCATTTTTGCTTCGTGTGTGTGTGTGTGTCGTGTGTTTTCTTGATATACTACATAAATTCAGTTCAGGAACATTTTTATTTGTTTATTGTTTTCCTTTTTGTAATTATTCTCGGTCAGGAGAGTCTCAAACATCTGTATATGTATATATATGTATATATATATACATATATATATATACATATGAATCGATGTGCAATGAACAAAAACAAAATAGGTAATTTCTAGAAGTAGAACGACAGAGAGAGAGAAGACCTTTATTTTGTTTTTGTTTTTTTTCTAATCATTTATTTATGTATCTTAGAATGAACAGAACATACTCTCAATATCATTTTTGTTTGTTTGTTCCTAGTCAGTGTAGCAAACTTTATTGTGTCGTCATCAATGTTGTGAATGCGAAAGAGTGGGTTGTATATTTTTATCGATTTTTTCTTCTTTTTGATAAACGAATTTTTGCGTGTTTATGTATATATCGAAGATAACTCTATTGTAGTTATTTGTTGTTGTATAAAGTATACACTCTCAACTTTACAAAATGTTTTGCGTTTTCTTTTAGTGCATGTAGGAAGCAGGAGAAAGAAAGAGACCTAAGCCGTAGTTTTTGACGTCTACATGTTCTGAAACTATGAACAAAAGCTCACAATCGAATTAAAGGATAAGTAATTCATCGAAAATGAAGGTTTGGGCTGCTACGGTTATATAATGTTTCATTCATTATCGTCTATGCTATATCTCTTGTAACTAGACAATTGTTTTTTCTCTCATTGCATTAGATGAACATCATTCTTGTGTGATAATAAGTTTTAAAAATAATGGCTTCGTGTATGTACCGTGTTGGTGGTGCGTATTACTTTTTGTGGTAGTAGATAGTCAACCATAATTACATTTGCTGTCTGCATTTAGACTACGTTTATTTTGAAGCCAATCCTAGTGATCCATATCAGATACGCCGAATCGAAGAATTGAACAAAGTATGTAAGACTTCAAGATCAGTTTCTTGCAAAGCCTGTAATGATCGTTTAATTAGACTGCAAATAGTAATGTCGAAGCACGTGTAGCATGTTTCTATCGTCGCCGTGATATATCAGCCTATTTGGTTAATCAAGCTGATCGACGACAAATCACAAGTAAAGCACAAAAACTTTTGTTATTTAATATTTAATAATACTGTTTGTTTACAGCTCCGTGGGATGATGATGATGATGTATTGAATGAAGGTGGATCAACAGTCACAGTACCAAGTACAACGACTGCATCATCACAACAAGAATTAAATGATGTACAAAAACATCAGTTACGTCATCGTGAATTATTTTTAACACGACAAATTGAAACACTTTTAGCAACAAATATAAGAGGAAAATGTCTTGTAACATTACATAATGAAACTGAATCATTTTTATCTTATGTCAATACGGATGTATGTAGTTGTAATGATTGTAGTGTAGTGTCGATGCTCTAACAGTTTCTTTATGTAGGATTTATTTTTTTATCAACTTGTTTATGACCCACAACAAAAAACGTTGTTAGCTGATCGAGGAGAAATTCGCGTAGGTGGAAAATATCAAGCTGACGTTCCGTCACAAATGTCAGTTGATGGTATGAATATTATATCGATCCACGTATCGCCTGTGTGAAAATTAATTTTATCTCTTTTTCTAAAGATAAACCCGATGCTGTACGTGAAGATCTCATATGGAATTGCTCGACCGGTCTAACTGAAAAGCAAATTGAACAATTTCTTATTGTCGCTAGGTAGAAAAACTCTTTATTTTTAAAGCTCTTTTTCTTAAAACTCTTTTTTTCTCTTTATTTTTGTACTCTTTTTTTTTTTTGTATACAACTTTTACTAAAAAAATTTTCGTCATTTCAGGTCGATTGGTACATTTGCTCGTGCATTGGATTGTCCCACGGCATTAAAACATCCAAGTAAGAAGACACTTTTTGATATACCGGAAAAAACGGGAAAAATGGTGCTCTTGACGTCATATGTAAAATTATTTTTAGGTCTTCACATGAGTGCTGCATCGGCATCAAGAGATGCAACGTTGGTATGCTCTATTTATCTTTGATTATAATCAGCAGAATAATATCAAAATGTTATTTTGTTTAGTTTTTTGCCATGGACACATTACATAAACATAATTACGATCTAGCATCGGCTACATGTTGTCTTGTGCCGTCAACAGGTCCTATCTTAGTCAAAGATCAAATGGAAGATTGGTCGGCAGCCGAAGCTAATGCATTTGAAGATGCCATTGAAAAATGTGGCAAACATTTTAATGCTATTCAACGAGAATTTGTGAGTAATTGTTAGTCATTCTATCGCTTGTTAATTTAAAATCTTTTGATTACAGTTACCATGGAAAAGTCTTAAAGGTATAATAGAATATTATTATATGTGGAAAACAACCGATCGTTACGTACAACAACGACGTTTAAAATCAGCTGAACAAGAAAACAAACTTAAACAAGTGTTTATTCCAAATTAGTAAGTCGATTTAGATGAATGAACATTGTTTCACGTCTGTTTTTTCGTATTATAGTAATAAAGCACATCAGTCTTTACTGCCGCAACGACCACAAAACGATGGAAAACCATGTGAATCATGTGGATGTAAGCTAATAAGATGACACTCAAAGTTTGAGCTTCGTTGGTGTCGGTACTAAATTGTATTTTCGGCAAACAAATGATATACACTTTGTTCTTTCATAGTTAATTCTCTATCTTTAAGCCTTATCATCTCCGACAAATCAATGGTATCAATATGGTGCTGCTCATATGCATACAAGACTTTGTTCTGATTGTTGGATATATTACAAGAAATTAGGCGGTCTTAAATATCCAAGAAAAAATGGTATATATTCACGATTTTGGAGTGTTCATTTTTTGATTTTCTTTTCTAACATATTTTCAGATGGTGATCGGCCCGGACCAGATCGTCGTTGTCAAGGTAGTAATGATGTTTTCTTCTGACGAACGAAATATGTATATCCTATTTATTATTCTTCGTTTATAGAACGTCCAACTTCAATCAATAAATTTCAATCATATCGTTGTACAGTGGACGGTTGTGGAAAAGTAAGGTTTGATATATTAGATATAAAAAAGACAACGTTGATCTATGATGTTTAATTATAGGAATGTAAAACAAAATCACAATTACAACGTCACTCTACATTAACACATGGTATCATGTGTCGTGCTAGTAGTCCTCGTCCTGTATCACGTAATCGAAATACATTTTGTTTATTTACTACACCAATAACTCGTGCAGCACGTACAATTATGAATATAAGACGTTTAGCTCGGCATATATCATTATCAGCTGATGTTGGTGCTATTAGAAAAGAATGTAAGTAGCCAAAGTATTTGAAAAACAAACATGTTATTACGCTAAAATTTTTCTAGGGGAAAAAGAATCACATGATATTCATCAAGTTTATAATCGTTTACGTGAAAATTATAAAGAACAAAAACAACGTCTACTAAAAGTCAGATTAGATGATGTATTAAATAAAGATAATTTAGAGATTGCTAAAACGACATTTGACGATATAACACAACCATATACAAATGAACCCGTTTATAAACCGGAACAATTGCGTTTTCCAGTGCCGTCTGAAGATTTTTTTGCCAAATTTTCAAATATAAATACGAGCATTATGAAAAAACGTCCCTATGAGTCAACAGATTCTAGTAATGAAGGTATAATTAATACATCGACTCTCGACAGAGTAAAAACGACTAATCTTGTGTCTGTTGTAGGTCCGTCACCAAAACGAACACTGATTAGTCGACAAAATTTAATAAAATCCAAATCACCGGTCAGTTATGCATCCATCTTAAGTGTTGTAGTTTGCTATAAAATTTTACGGAGATTCCTCACAATAAATTCGGTTCTTTTTTTTTATTAGAATAACGTCAAATTGTCTCGTTCTCGAGCGTATACTGTTTCATTTATTGATGCTCCTGATGGTATTTATTTAAGAGTTACGAAAGAAATAAAGTAAGTATACTTGTCTAGAGTTTTTCCTCTTTTCCTAAAATAATATCGTATCGCTTTTTTTTTCTCCAGACATTTACGCAAAGATATTCCACAAAATGAGATACGTCGTATAGCACGTGCACCATGGAAAAAATTGAATACAAATTTCGTTTCATATGCGGATGATGACATTGTTGTTCTTGATTAATCTTTGTTCATTTTTGTTTTGTTCTTTCTATGCGTACATATGTATATATGAAGAGATCTGGAATTTTTACACTCGGTTTATCGAGACTGTTTTGCTTTTTTAAAAATTGTTGACTCAACAATAAAGCTTCTTTTTTGTTTTTGCTTTAAGTATAATTATATTAAAATACTGATTTCTGACTGTTGTCTATGACTTTTTGTTTTGTTTTTTGTTATGCAATATTAGAATTAATTTGTATTTACCTTGTATATGTTTTGATCATAAAAAAATATGTCAGTCTTACATAGTCCTTTTTTTTTAAATGTTCTGTTAATGGAATATGAACTAATAAAAAATTGTAAACAAAGTTTTTTAAAACAAATCTAAGATCTTCATTATAGAAAGGTAACATTTTGTGCGGGCGCATCTAAAACAACATACTGAAACTTGTCATATTGTTCTAGCGTCATCAAACTCCTATAACGAAGAAAGAGAGAATTTTAACTTAAACACCAGCTCTCTTCTCCAACATAAGTCTATTGCTTTATTTCTTAATTTCTGCCGCCGAAGCTGTAGATTTGCGTTTGTTAATACATATTAAAGATCTATTAACAAATTATATTTTTATCGTACACATACTCACTGCGATCTACTTGATAGTCTCAATTCCGGAGATGGACAAGTCCTCTGTTTTTCAGTCCGAGCTAAGTCTCAGTCCACTAGGATCTCAGTCTCATCCCAGTCCCAGTCTGCTTAAAACCTAAATTTTCAGTCTCAGTCCTATAAACATCAGTCCGAGGTCAATCCGAGCCAAAAAGTTTTTCTTATTTGCTCCTGTTTTGTCTTGTATCTTTTTATCGAAATAGCACTGTTTCTTTAAATGCCTACCTATATGAAAGATTTTTCTCAACATTAAAACCCAAAAGTTGAAAAACTGATCTGAAAAATCAGCCACGCCTACGAAAATAATCAATCCCAGTCAAGTTTCAGCTCAGTCATAGTCCGATTAAAAAAAGCTTATCAATTCGGACCGTGACTTGCCCACCTCTGCTCAATTCAAGCATTTTTTTTTGTATTGATCAAATGTCTGCTACACAATGATAACAAGTATTCTATTGAACAACTAACGTACTTGATACAGCTGAATGACTATAATTTTTTCGTACAAAACTAGTAAATGTATCACGTTTGAATAATGAGGGGGTCATCTGCAATTTATTTTAAAAAGAGAAGAAAAACGAATATTGGCGTTTACATTTTCTCTCAAACTATATCACGGTCTACGTTATATTTAATTTTTTATGTATTATAACACGAATTGTATACTAGAATAAATCGTCGGTTCATCTTAACAGAAACTTAAGATAAATGATAAATGGACAAAGTTAACATTGCGTTATGGAAAGCAACACTTCGACAATTTCGTACATTTCATGTGAGTGTATCTTGCATATACAAGCGTACTGAATATAGTTTAGAAGAAGCGTCTTAAAGATTTGACGTAGAGAGAAAAATATGTCAAGTAAATAGTAAGTCAAAAAAAAAGAATCTTTTCCTATAAGTTTATTATTATTATTGTATTTTCAAGAAACCTAGCTTATGGCTCGAACTAGTTTGAGAAATAAGCTTGAGATATCTGGTTTGTGGCAAAGTAGCATGCGTTTTTGCAAAAAATTATAAACTAAAACTGGCAAAAAAATTAATTTTTGACAGCTCGATCGATATAATTTGTAAAGGTGTAAGCACAAAATTTATCATTATTATGTTGAACTTTACTGTGTGACTTTTTGAGAATAAAGATATTCAATAAGCGAAACAGAAAACTATTAAATAAATATAAATAAACTGATGAAAAAATGTTCAAAAAAAAATTAATTGAAATTTTGTGTATTCTCTCATCATCGCTCGCATTTGGTCCTTCTTTTCAAAGTTTTATTATTGAGTCAATGACTTTTTTGACGTACTCTCATTATCCATGAATAAAACAAGATTTTTTTTTTTACATAATGTTAAAACAGGAGGACGAAGAGAACATTGTTCACCTTCGCGAAAAATATTGAACCATTAAAAATTACTTTTGTTTTTCATTTTTCGATCATTTATAAGTGAATGTATATATTTTAGATGGTTCATCACTTATACTCCACTCCATATCCACTATCCTTTCTTCTTTGCGATCTGATGTAACTAAAGAAAAAAAATCAAACCACTATCAGGTCTATTTTTTTTCTTTTCTTCTTCTACAAAAGTATATATATGATAGATATGTGCGTGTGTGTATGGATGTATGTATACTCATACTAATCGATTTGTTTTGAATGTACAATCGGATTGACGATTATTGTAATTTGGGAACTAGACAACTTTCAAGAGTTATTATTCTTTTAGGATATGCATTCAAATGCGATACTTCTAAATGAATTTAGCAGTCTTCTATCGCACCAGAATAACAGGAGAAAAAATGTAGGTTGATTCAGTCGTTTTTATCTTAACGATTTGTTGCCCTAAATTCTAGTGAAGCGAAAATCGTAAAAAGAAAAAGAAAATCAGTCTCTAGAAAATGAGCTATTATATTTTGAAATAGAATCATATTTTTATTTTTAAGCATTTGGATTCTAATGGCTGATTAATAATTCTCATTTTGTTTGATTATTTGCTCTTCCAACGGATGTATAACGCGTTTTTATGAGAAAAAAATATTTATAAAAGATAAAGTGTAACAATGGTCGATTTTTAAAGAGAGTTTAGAAAATACTTCAGAAATTTTTATAACTTAAGTATATAACGTTTTAGAGTCTAAAAATTTGGATTTCTGGATAGCTTTAGAACTAGAACCCAATGGATATGGTTAAATTGAAAAATATTTTTAAGTATGTTGTATATGTTCTCACGTATGTTTGATCCTCCCACGAATCGTTTTTCAAATTTAAACAATTTCAGCGGCTTAGGTCAATAGATTTCATTAGGATAATCTTTTAGAGAGTCCGTGAATCAATCTATTAGAAAAGTTCCAAACACGCTTACAAAATATTTTTTAATCCATAGTGATGGCTTAAATTATAATACGATTTAAAGCATACGATTTCAAGTAATAAAGGAAGAGAATTTTTATACGTATAAACAAACAATTTTGAATTCACTCATTTTGTCAAAAATAGGAATTCGTACGATCACGTTTTCTCATATATTTCGACTTTTCTCTAGTTAATGGACGGACGTAGATGATAAAATTAGTTTATTACACGATTACACCTGATAGGGTCCTGCCGTTGTATGGTACTAAGCTGTTGTTTGCTCAAATTTTGACAGAAACTGACTACGCTTAGAATCACAGAATAATATGAATAGTTTGGATAGAACTTTTTCAATTTGAAACATATCAGTCGAAAGAGCAAAAAAATACTGTGTTTATCGTAGTAAAATATGCAATTACTTTTAATATCTTAAAAAAGATTACTCACTCAGAACATCTATTTAAATTGCATCTGTCGACCACATAATTCATGTTTCACGTTTTTCAATATAGTAGTCTTAAGGCTTCGTCTACTCCATGTCAGAATCTATTTCGGCAACCATAAGTCAGATCTTGAGAAAATTTCAAGAAATGTTGACCATATTGAGGAATAATTGCGATAAAGTTTTGAAGCTCAACCTATTTCCGTTCAATAGATGTTGCTCGTATAAGAGTCAAAATGAGGTATCTATCGTCCGGCAGATTTCTCCTCTCAAAAAGCAGCTAGACAGATTTCAGATTGGTTTTAAAATATTAAATTAAGCTAGGGTAACGACGTAAAGTAAAAGAGATGGATTTCAGAATTTTTTCTGTGTTTTATTTTCTGAAAGATAATACCTCAATAGTTAAAAAAAAACGAAGAAACTGGTTTATAACTTTGAGCAGTGTAACGGAATGCCTGCCTAAATTCAAAATCGGGCTCTTCTAAGTTATTCCCATATTACTAGTTGACAATCAGCTCGATCTGAAAAGCTGGATCAGCTATGCAGTTTTATCTGGACTGAATCAGACTTTATGAAAATGTATGTTCTGATTCAGAGATGAAAATTCTGATCAGCTCATTCAGCTATGAATCTGGTCACGGAATCACGATCAAATTTTTATAAAAAAGATAATATCCGAAATTTTAGAGATGATTCCGATTAGATTTTTTAGCTTTGAATCACTTATTAGAAGAAGAAGCTTGATGTTAACAACAATGATTTTTAAACTCTAGGAAAATTTAGAATCGTATAAAAATTAGATAACTTTGACTATTATAAATATTTAAGAATAGTATCATCTTCAATAGAAAAATATTGCTATCAAGTGTACTTTCTAAGTTCACAGCATCATGTAATATCTGAGTCAGTCCTTGACAGTAAAGATGAGGATATTTCTATTCATTGCAGAATCAGTGAGAAGCAAACGAAAAATACCTTTCTTTCGAAGCTGATTTCAATTCTGATTTAGCCCTAATAAAATTGCATAGCTGATTCACCTTTTCACACTGGATTGATTGTCGACTAGTGATGTTTTAGCTCGAATGTTTTTCTCAGTATCATTTTTTTAACCTATACTATAAAGCTTATGATATATACATTTCCACAGAGGCTCCCGAAAAGTTCGTGAAAAAGCACTAAATTACGTTTTAAGCAATAAAAGATTAGTGCATTTGGAAGGAGACACTTAGGACATTTTATAAATAGAAAATACATAGATCAAAACATGCAATTTGCACATTATTATTAAATAATATTCAGTATTGATTTGAATAATATATTATCTTGAAAGAAGAGTATTGATACAGCGAAAGCAAGGTCAAAACTAGCCATCCATAAATTTTATCCATAAATCTCTACTATTAACGTGAAATTTGGAAATTTTACGGTGATAGTAGAGATTTATGTATTTGTATTTTGTATTGGATTTGAGAAGTAAAATCCTCTCAGTTTCACCAAAAACGATGTGAAATAAATAGAAAATGCACAAAAAGCCGTTGTATTTATTCAGAAAAATATCTATAACA